CAGACTTATTGTCCGCACCGTACATTTTTATCTTATTTCATTGTCAAAATGCTTCAGTCCTTAACGGAGCTCGTTGCCTAGCCTGCCATAAATACGGTACCCCGCAGAGAGCATTTTGGGTAGATTCCACTTTTCCATATGTATCAGATGCAAAAAAAAAAAACTGTGAGCCCTGATAACTGGGAGGTTAAGGGTTCTGCTTATCACAGGTGACAAATGTGAAGCCGGAGAGCTGGAGAACACACAGCGGCACGCTCCGCGATGGCAGTGGTCTGATAATATTCATGAGTGCAGTTGCAGTGCCGCTTGAGAAGATGACGGTCGGTGCACTCAGCTGCTTAAAATGCACTAACCCTGCTGTGTTTGTGCTGAGTTCGGGGGCAGAAAAAACATAACTGGGAATGCTAAGTGTAATGTATGGGGTAGGACAGCCGGAGAAAAGGCAACATTGTCTCTGCTCCACTGGGTGAGAAAAACTGTGCAGAGGCCCAGGACTTGTTAATAATAATGTTGCCTTAACCTCCTCTCACAGCAAGACAAAGACTCTTATTAATGACCCAGCAAAAACTGCTCTTTGTAGGGCATTTCACACATACACTCACTGGCCACTGGTACACCTTCAGCTGCTCGATGAAGCAACTATCTAAAGCTCATATCATCTTAGACTGGTTTCTTGAACATGACGATGAGTTCCCTGTAGTCAAATGGCCTCCAGAGTTACCAGACCTCAGTCCAATAGATCACCTATGGGATGTGGTGGAGCATGAGACTGAGACAGGGAAGCCGCTGGGCGATGCTGTCATGTCCACATGGACCAAAGTCTCTGAGGAATGTTTCAAGCACCTTTTTGAATATATGCCGTGAAGAATTAAGACAGTGCCTAAGGCGAAAGCGGATCCAACCGGGTACTAATAAGGGGTACCTAATAAGTGGCAGGTGAGAGTATGGTATCTATATCTGCGTGAGCACCAGGTCCACAACAATGCTCACGTTTCTGTTTGTGTGTGTGACTGCGCTACATGTGCATCTTGGTGGGCACTGGGCTAAAGTGGATTATCCCCATGTTTTTCATTTCCTTACACAGTGTATATGTGATGTGGCTGTAATTACAGTGTATGGCTCCAAGCTCTTGGATGAGGCTGTGAACTGACACAGGGCTGGACTCACTGGGATGTTGACTGTGTAGGACTGTAAGCTTATTAGGAGCTAAGTCGTTTGGATGTATCAGAGAGCACCAGACAGGCCTTGTGCTCCACAAACATCCACAAAGCATGAAACATCAGATTCTGGGCCTAAAGTGACATGCCCTCAAAGAAACCTTGCTGGGAAGAAAAGCATACTTACAATGCTTTGCTCTTCTTCCCTGGAGAATTTCTACTTGGCAAACCTTGCTTTTAATACAGTGCATTTATCTAAATGTGTCTCAGAAGTTACCTCCTTATCGTCGCCTGGTGACCATTCAACAAAGGTGAAAAGTCATTCAAGGATCTGCGATATGAAGTGACTGTTTAGTAACAGTGTTCTAAACTGTAACAGCTGTCATTCCCCCTCCCACACCCCCGCTGGTTTTTATCCAACACTCAGGAAATGGCTTAATTATCACACCTCAATAGCTCTCAGAGGGCAGTGGTCCTCCAGATGGGTCATTTTCTGCAGTCATTCGAGAGGGTAATGGGCAGTGCAGGTGCAGGAGATTCTTTTTAATAAAAAAAAAAAAAAAAAAACTAAAATCCAAGGAGAAGCAAGGACCTCCACCTCTCTCATTAGCACACAATGCTCATTTCCAGCCTTTCACTGTGTATGCACTGCATTAGATCATCTTAGATGTAAAGGATTTTATGCTGCCTTGGTCCCAATTACAGTATAAATTGCACTTGTTTTTAGACGGACATTAAGATTTGTACCGTAGGTTTATTCCTTTACCACAGTGAAGATTGACAAGCACATCCTGCCCTCTAGAGGATGCCTGAGGATAACAAAGTGATGATTTTCAAAAAAAAAAGAAAACTTGTTTGTTCTAAACCTTGTTTTGGAGAAAAAAAAAAAACATTGAGAAACTGAAAGTCTTTTAAGTACATGCAGCTAATTAAAAGTCAGGTTGTTCTGGAGGTGAGAGAGGTCCTACCCAGCACAAGGTAGGAGCATCTAGTAAATTAGGTTCTGACTACACACTGTTAACTGACAGAACTATTACTAATATTAATTATTTTGGTAGTACTTAGACATTTCTTGGGTAATCTATCATAAGGTGACTGTTGTGATAGTGAAATGCATCCCACTGCTTGAAATGAATATCAACCATTGTCATCATTATCCATCTTCCATAATTGCTTATTCAGTACAGGATCACAGTAAAGCCTGGAGCCCAACCCAGGAAGTACAGGACACAAGGCAGGGGCCACCTTGAACTCCAGGCAATTTAAGGAGGAACATCTCCTATCCACATATTTTTGGACTGCCAGATGAAACCGAATTAGCTGAAGGTACTCCAAAGGTAGTCACAGAAATATGAGGAAGAACATGGGGTGGGAAATGAGCCCCCAGTTCTGGGGGAGTGAAGCCACAGCGCTAACCTCCATGCCGGCCCATTTTCCTTCATCATTCATTATTATTTTTGTTGTTGTTGTTACTATTACTGACCACGTGATATTTACACATTTTGTCATGGCAGAAGAGGTGAATTGTTACCCACAACAGAATAATGAATTTCACTTTCTAAGAATATTTCTTTAAATCAAGGAAAGTGGTGTAGTCACAGTAATAATTACTTGCCCGACAAGTAAATGAATGCCCACAGACTGTGCACATTTCATCCAAACAAAACCAGCAGCTTAATTTAAGGAGTTTCATTATAAATGCATCACTTCAATGGAATTTAAATTAGAGGCTTATTTGGAGATCATCATGTGAACGTACTGTTCTTAAAAATAACACATTGATTAGGTGCCGATGCAGAAATGCAGTTGACCCTGATATTGTGGTCTGATTCTTGATCTTTCTCCATTCAGCTGGCTTCTGTGTGCTGGTTTGCCACCGAATGGCATTGAAGTAGTCCTTGAAGCAAAGAGTCACATGTTACACTGTTATTTTCCTTCTTTTGTTACATATAACACTAGATCACTATTGTGTATGAGGCTGCTAGAGATGATAAGCTATGTCTCTAGCCAGCACTAACTCAGGGTTTCTCTGTCCTACTTCTGGGGGGTGTTGTATGAAGAAGGATTTCTCAGTTAGCTGGGTTAACGTAAGCTAGAAGTCATGACTGTTTAGGTAAAGAGCATTCCTATTGGATAATCATGACTTCTAGCTCAAATTAACCCAGCTGAGAAATCCTGCTTTGTGGAATACTTATTAATTATTACCATTATTATTTTATCTGTTCTAAAACCTGTATTCTAAATTGGTTTCTTTAAATTGTTGCTATATTATGATAAAACATTCTGGGATTTTCAGATATTTGGATATGTTAGCTGTTATTAACAAGTTCAATGATTCTTCTTGTGCCCATTAATTTAAATTTTAATTCAAATTGCCTACAATCAATATATATGGCTGCTTTACACGTACAAAACCTTGGTTCATTAATTAAACTGATTATGGGCTGTCTTTTTTTGTAAGAGCACAAATTAACAAAAGTTAAGAGAATGTGCTTTCCTTTTATTAGCAGAAGGTTACTTGCAATTCTCTAATTAAGTACCTGTAGCTTATAAACTGTGTGATATCAAGTCACTATGCTGTAACTCTGAAGTTCAGTCCTATTAACCAGCTGGGGTCTAAGGCCTTCTCAGATACTTTTATCCATCCATCCATCCATCTTCCCACAATATATCTGGGCATCGTTAGGCCTGGACCCTGTCCAAGGCAGCATGGTGTATACGCAGGGGCGGATTAACGCACAGGCTAGATATGGCTTAAGCCTAGGGGCCCCACGTGTGCCAGCCTGCAAGGGGGCCCCCATTGGCGTGGAGGGGGGCGGGGTTGGGGGGCCCACAGACTACTGTAGCCTAGGGGCCTCTGTACACCTTTATCCGCCCCTGTGTATACGGCTGGGATACACTCTGGATGGGATTTCAGTCCCACTCAGGGCACATACAAGCACACACTAATTTAGAGGCACTAGTTAGATTTTACATCCTTGGACTGTAGGGGGAAACCTGAGTACTGACAGGAAACTCACATGGCATGAAACATCCACACAACAGTGCTACTTGCCGAGACACACCTACCACCAGGGCTGCCAGTTTCTGTGCACGCATCTGGTATGACACTCACACTTTCAGACTCTCATGCTCTCGCAAGAAATCTTATGACAAATCTAAAATTAGCTACATCAAAAGCGTTGAGGTAGTTTGCCATCCCTAGACTGTTTACAAGGCAATAAAACTCTTAATACATGAAATGTGTGTGCATGTGTCTGCAGACTTGTTTTGAATTGAAAATTACTCCAGTCTGCTAACCCTGTACCTTCTGAAATATACCTTGTATTGCATAGTGTTTTTTTTTTACTTATGTAATGTCTGCATGAGGTTCTTTTTGTGGGCATTAAAATCTTAATATCAATTCCCTAAGTCAGGGCTCAACAGAGGTGGACATTTCAGGTCCAGAAAGTAAAAATCCAAACCAGGATTTCATGTCAACCAACCAGTTGATTACTCTGTGACTGTGACTCTTAATGCTCAACTGGTTGGTTGAAATGAAATCCTGGTTTGGATTTTTACTTTCTGGACCTGAAATGTCCACCTCTGGGGCTCAAACTCACTTCCTGCCACGTTGGACCCAATCCAGTCCCAAGTGGGCCTATCTATCTGTGTATAGCGGACTAAACACACATTAACAACACAATTCCGGATCTTTTTTGTCGGGGTTAATGGTTTCCCCCGTATAGGCTAGCCTAGCAAACGACTGTGGAAGATTAATGGTGCTAATCAAAACCTGATTACGATTAACAGCATCTGGTGAAAAAGTGTGACAATTAAGTATATAGAACTTGACCTGCGATCTCAATATCTGCCTTTCGGGGCATTTTATAACCATATAGTTAAAAGTACATATATGAAGAAAACATACGCTGGCGAAAGCCTGACTACTGTCGAGGGTTGTCTTTGCAGACACCAGAATAAGATTTCTACAATGTTACTACTTTAGTGGCATTTCTGCGTTTCGCATCTGCATCACTTATCAGCACGGTAAGTCTGATAATGCTGGTATTATATTCCTTCAGCACTTACGTGCCCACAGATGAAAAAATAAGAATAGCGAATTTTTATAGTTCTAAAACCGTAATGCGAGATCTTTCAAATCGAAGTCTGTCCATAATCTCAAATCATCTTGTCGGCCGGATGAGGGGTTGTTTCTAAACCCATTTTTCGAGAGGCATGTTCCACCGGTAAAATATCGCCCTACTTCTCTATAATCACAGAAAAGCCAGAACATATCCGTTTAAACTTTTAGTATTAGTATTGGGTACGCTACTTAAACTGTAGGAAACACGGATTCACCAGTCACTACATTTCCCATAGTGCCCCAGTACCCACTGAGTTGTAGGTAGTACCACAGCGGCTCTGGGCATTACGAAGAGATGGACATACGCAAAAATGACATCTTGCCACTAAACATCTTTTTTTTCGTATTTGTGAGTAAAATACACAGAAAACAAAACTGTAAATACGTTTTATTGCTGCTTCATTGGATGGCGTGACAAGTGAAGAGAGTAGGCTATACACTGAGAGCGGACTGCCAGTATTTCTGTTTTTAAGTATTCACGAAAGTTTTCGTTTCTCGTTGCCGTTATCCATGGCAATGTCACTTTAATGGGGGTAAAGGATGTATGGCCCAGTAGAAGCTTCAGGCCAGAAATGTCCTTTGGCCGGATGCAATGAAGCAGCGCCATACGTACTCCCTGCGCTGGACATGAGTCTAACACTATTGATTAAATCATAATTAGGACCAGATGGAAATGCAGAGGGTTTCTTTAAGCTTGTTGTTTGGTGCATTTATTCTTCATATTTATTCTTCACATTCTTAACGTGGCATTATAATGTTGTAACTGGAGCTTTACCATGTTTCTTTAGTGGTGGACAGGTGTAGCGTGGACAAGTGCTGCCCCCTGGTGGTAATAAGGCTTGGCCCATGAGAATTAGGCTATTAAAACATTTAATAACGCCATAAAATTGGCTACCGACAAGTGATTTATCCATATGAAAATGACAAGCAAAATTACTTTTTGCATGTACTGACTTGTGCAATGTCTTTTCCCCTCACATAAATAGATAATATCACAGCTTTTGTTAGCATTGCTGATGGGTAAACCCAAGTTTGTAGCTACATAACATCCCCTATGCAATTTCACGTGTGACTAATCTAAATTGAGACTATCGAATATCTAGTGGACCCTAAACGCTGACAGTTCTCTGCACTACAAATGGAGACACTTTGCATGATTATTGGCTTCTTCCTCCGTAAATTGTTGCGGCAGCCATGCATATTGATTTGCGTTCTGATATTTCAAAATCACATTCTCGCACTCCATGCTTATAATAACCCGTCGGAAAATATGGAGATAAGCGCACCGGGGTTTTGCGCTTCATAAATCAGGAGATTGGCATCTTTAATGAGCTTGATATAAGAATTTGTGATTCAGTCCAGCGTCTGCTCGTCTGGTAGAGTGTACGACAACAATGCTCAGATGTAAACAGCTGTTCCGTTTTCCTTCAAGTGCTGGCACACGTTATTCTCCATCAAAATATTCCTACCCATTATTAATCTCGCCGAAATACAAACAAAATTTCAGTTTCCTGTATTATGTTCTATATATTATCCATTCCTGGGTTATTCCCTGACTCCCCCCCCCGCCCCCATTGTCTCAATTTCGTATTCCCATAATCGTACATTGAACGATATGGACTGAATAAATAAACCACTAAATGAATGAATAGATGAATGAATGCCCTGTATGCATTCTAGAGGAAGTATATTTATGCATTTTTAATATTGGTTTTAGTGACCTAGTATTTAAAGCATAGGCTACTTGTAGTAAACAAAATATATTCTAATTCATGCAGCTTGTAATTTCAGATAATGGAAAACAAACTTAAGATGCAGGAATTGTATCCGTGTTTGAGCACAAGCCATTGTCCTTTGGTACTGTGGAATGCACTTGTACTTGGACTGTTGATAAGATGGCATCATATTCATGGCATGTGTGTTCTGTTGTGACCAGCGTCTCATCCCGTATAATTCCCTGCCTTGTGTGCTGTGCCGCTCGGGACTGGATCCAAGACCCCCTCAACTCCTTCCTCATAACCGTGTACAGGAAATGTGGATGGATGGAGGGGCATTATTTGCAGTGAGTACCTTTCTCCACAAGGGGTCACTAAAGTACTACAATTGTGAGTGGTAGGTCTGTATCTTTTGGGTCCTTAACGTGAATTCATTTACGTCAGTGTGTGTTCATGAAGCGACGAGACATTTCCATAAAAGATATGAATAAACTGACAAGCAGTGCAGTGTCTACCAATGTTTACAGTGCCATGTCAATGAAAATAAAGGAGGACTATACACTGGAGAAATCACATAGATATCACTGGGTCCTACTCAGTGGTGACATCATTGAAGATATCCTTGACAATGGAGAAGTAAATCTGAACGGTGATCCAACAGCTTCAAGGATGCTTCAAGACTCATCTAGGATCCCTCTTGATCATTGATGGATGCTGCATTCTTATACCACAAACAGTGATTGAAATTTCATGTTACTTTATGACCCGTGAATCATACAGCTGAAGATGACAAAAAATATTTACACTTATTTTATGTAGCAGACATTTTCATTCAAAGTGGCGCATGTTTTTTGAGACGAGCCCTGGAGCAATGGGGGGGTTCAGGGCCCTACTCTGGAGCCCAAGCATGAAGCCACTGTTAACGCTGGGATTTGAACCAGCAACGTTCCGATGGCAGGTGCAGTGTCAAACCCCACTGAGCCACACAATAAAGATAATAAAGATACTTTGACTCTGATTCTTACTACTGTCTTACAGTCCATGCAGTCTTTCAATAAATTAGATTAAATGCTTAAACATCAGTTATGGGGAGTCTGTATGTTAAACTGTTACTGTACAGAAAAGGTAAAAAATGTATATTTCTTTGGCTCCAGTAAGTCTGTGAATTGCCTATTGTCACTCCTGATCCAGTTGCTTCGTTTGTCTGGTGTGTCAATGACACACCTAGTCTAATACTCCTTTGTTTATTTTGAATAAACCAAAAATTTAGTTTAGCCTCCATCTCCCTTAGCCAGGCCTCAGACTAATGGGTGTGAATAGATCGCTGACCACTATCGCACATCCTGTTGTTTAATCATTCCTTGCGTTTGATCCAAGTTGTATGTAAGGTCGTCACTCGATAGTCTGCCTTGAGTCCACTTTAAGTGGTACGCTCATAAATAAAACATACCCGATTCAGCCGTCGTCTAGCCGGAATTGATTTTCTTCTGTAACTAAATAGCAAAAAAACTTCAGCAGGGAAGGGAAATTACATAATGTCAGCACAAAAGAGAAACTTCTCATTCTTAGGTTATGGTAAGTTGTTGGTAGGGTATTGAAGATAGAATAACAGCTCTGATATAAATAAACACTCATTTGAGCTGATTCTAGCTCTGAAGAACAAACCATATGCTATCTGACACCCTCCTCTGCCGCATGGCCTCGGGACAAGTAGAAACCATGCAGTGCTGTATGGGCTGTAATACCCCTTCGGAGGCCTGACATTCCTCCAGGAATCCAAAGAAAGGGGGTGTGGCCATTTATCTCCTCCCAGTCCTGTCATCCTACTGGCTGTAATATGATATAAAATCAAAGGTGTGGAAGCCAGTGTCACATACCTTAGACTGTCATGGTGTTAATGGTTGTTGTGGGTTTTAATGTGACCACTCAATTCTTTTTCTATAATTTAATATAACGTCATAAACCTTTTTTAATGTCTTTTCTCTTTTTGATAACTTAATCATTTTACCGTATATTAGCTTTAAAAAGACTGAGCCAAAGTAATATCTTGTTGTGAATCATACGAATCTGTAAAATCTTTTATTGGTTTTTGGAGTTATCATTTTTTATATAAAAATGTATTTATTGCCGCACTGCTTGAATATCACTATGACTGAATATTGCTGCATGAGTTTACTACTTAGTGGAGGGGGTTAGCTATATTAAAAATGTAATTTAAGCAAATTCACTTTCTGTTTTTTATGCATGATTGAAAATTCTTGAGATACTGTACATAGATTGTGCTGTCTTGTGTAATGACTTGTTTGCCTTAGTTCGGGGAAAAAGCCATAATGACACTATAAATATTTCCATGCTTGTCATGTAATTTAGAATGTCTGCAGTTTTGCTTTACACCAGTAATATAATCAGCGTTTCCATGTCGTGAATCAAACCTTGAGCTTCTTTTGCAATCCTGCAGTGAAATATGATCTGCAAAACGTAGTGTCCTGCCTTATGGTGAAGACCACAAATCCCTGTCCTGAGACTATGCATGAAGAGGGTGGTCCATAGATCTAGAGTTCTCCCTTATGGTTACGATCAGGAAGCCACATATTGATGTAAGCTGGCAGTGGAAGTGAGGTCACCAAGGCTGTCTCACATGTCATTCCCCAGACTTTCCGCTTCCTTTTCAGAATAGTAATGTGGACTCTTCCCTGTGTGGTTGCACATGTCCCACCAGGTACACCGTCAAGGTCGTTCCAGTCTTTGTCTAGAGCAGTGGTTTTCAACCTGTGGGCCGCGGCCCCCTAGTGGGCCGCGACGGTATTGCAGGGGGGCCGCCAATTATTATTAA